CAAGCCTCCAAACAACCATATTTAACATAAAAGAGCTACAGGTGAAGGTTCACGACCAGGAGCAGTAGGAAGGAAACCATCATCATTTAAGTTTGAACCACCGTTTCAACATAAAAGAGCTACAAAAGAAAACTCACGATCAGGAGAAATGATGAAAAAGTTTAAGTCCAAATCAACCACAACACAAACTACAACAATAAAGCTCACGGACAAGGGCAGCGAGGGGAATAACAAGCCCCAAACCCAGCAAAGAATATCCAAACAGGACAAAATGAAACCAATTAGGATATTCACAGGTAAGGGTAGCAGACCAAAGCCACCAAACCAGCCTCACAACAAAGGAGAAAGCCAGGAACAACAAAACAAAATAAAAGAATCCCACATGAATGCTCTCAGGTAAAGGCAGCAGCCCACACAATCACTGAACCGAATCTAATGGTGTTGGTGGAGTGGCAAATACTTGTAGATAAGAAATCCATGGGCAACTCCTTATACATAAATATTACAAATAATGATATCCCTGTATTGTTTAATTGATTGGTCGACTTCATATTAACAAATTTGATACACTATCTGTCATGCATCTCATGTCGAGCAAAGAAGCGTTGGATCAATCTATGTAAGCATCAAAGGGGCAAGCAGGATATCAAGACTCACGGCTAGGGACAGTGAAGAGAAAACCCAGCCCAATCCAACCATTTTTTTAATCATAAAAGAGTCATAGGAGAATGCTCATAGCCAGGGAAAAATGAGAAGAAAATTACGTTCCAGCCAACCACAACACAAGCCGTAATATAAAGACCCACGTCCAAAAATAGTGAAAGAAAACCACCATAGATATTTCCATTGTATTGCTTTTGATATACATAACAGAGTGAATGGACAAACTATTATAGATCATTAGGACTGAAACCGTTTACATCACATAAGGCATGATTGTAAGTTAGTTTACTTATATCAAACACCACCACACAGAGGTAGTCATTGAAATCATGAATTTTGGGATGACAAACTTGATTACCAATAAAAAAAACTTGAGAGGAATGTTAAAGAATAATCTCTAACTGAATCATGCCCAATAGAGGGGGCAAACTGAGCCCACCAAAGGGACAAAATCAAGTCTAGCACAGGGGCAAAACCAAACCCATCAAAGGGGCCAAAAACAGCCAAAAATAGCAAAGATTTCAGTCAAGACATGATACCAAAAGGAACCAAACCGAGCCCACTAAGTGGGTTAAAAATAATGTAAAACTTTCAGTTAAATTCAGTCTAAAAGAAGCCAAAACTGAGCTCACCAAAGGGGCCAAAAACAAAGAAAATTTTCATACATAATTCCCACTTCTCATGGCCAAAACCGAACTCAACATATGGGCAAACTGAGCCCTACATAGGGGCAAATCAGAAGCAAAAATTTCAGCAAGGATCCAACCCCAAAGAGCCAAAACGGAGCCCTTCAAATGGGCCAAAACAGAGAGTATTTCCAGTAAGGATCCAACTCCAAAGAGCCAAAACCGTACCCCAACAAATAGGTTAAAACAACTAAAAATATTTTCGCTTGAAGCATCATATTTCAAAGTATTGTGCCAACATGTATCAACATATGCTTCAACATAAAAATGGATTCCAACATAGATTCTAGATGAGCAAGCATCAATCCAAAATTCATATTCATGACTTTTTATGCATCTTAAGCAGGAAAAAAATATAAACCATCTTTTTCCCTAAACAAATCATCTTTCTTTTAACAGTAAATTACTTCAACAAGAAACACAGAAAGAAAGTCACAATTTCCAACATGTAGGTATAGAAATAATAGAAGTGTAAGAAGAAGATTTACATGTGAGAATGAACCTATACATGCTTTCCATATATCTTGAGCAGAAAAAGAAAAGAAGACAGTCATATCATGCTCTATTTTAATGTTCTCAAGGAGTATTTCATGCTTAAATTTCATAACAAGCCCAAATCTTGCTTCCACATACTTTAGAAGAAAAAATAAACATTTTTGAATGCCATCCTAAACAACACAAAATAGAGGAGAGAAGGAGAATACCTCTTTTATGAAAATTTAAAGCAAAATTATAAGACAAATTCAAGAAAACCACTCCAACAAAAATCCTCCTCTTAAAGACTTCAAGAAACAACAACCAACAAAATTTTCACACTCCAAATGCTCCACACTCCCAATGCACGAGAACTTAGTTTAGAAAGGATTTCGACAAAGCTTTCTCCCATAAAAATCTCAAACAGTAAAATCCAGCCTCCTTTTTCTCTCAAGAAATTTTCAACAACCCAAAACAGTGCTCTATGAAGCCTTTTTATAGGCAGAGAAGAGAGGGGACAACCACCTACCACCGTTTTCATGGTCGAATAGAACAACAAAGATGAAATCGTCACAATAAAGACGGAGAAATTAAAACCTTGAGAAGGAGAAGGGTCGACCAGCTTGGCCCCTGCAATTGGAGAGCCGAAGAGTCTAGCGGCCGCGTGAAGAAGGGGAAGAGTTGAGAGAGGGAGAAGAGACTGCCGCGTGGATTGTCCATGGGAGCTAGGACACTCGAGGGGAGCGGGACGAGCGCCGTGGGATTGAGCCATCGGACGGGCCAAATGGGGTTTAAGTGCGCGGGTAAGGGGTAAATAGGGTTTAGGATTATAATTTTAATATTATAAGTAATAAAATATATAAAATATTTAATATTCCTTAAAAATAAAATTTGATTCGTACATTTTTATTCGTGTGTCAGACTGTAGAAAATTGAATGTCCTTTTTAGGTAATTTTGACGTTCCAGACGCGCTGGTGCCGTTCCGCGTAGAAAATATGGTAATATATGTGTCTTTTCCTTGTAAAATTGGTGTCCCGGACTCGTTGGCCCAGTCCATTTTGTTGTCGGAGGTCGTCCGGTGAAGTTCGCATTTTCACTCATCCTTAAGCTCAATTTAAGTCCGATTTTGTGCGACTTAGTGAATTTTGTGCATTTGGTGTGCGCGTGTGATGATAAAGTTTTGAAGAAGTTTTCCTAGGACTAGAGAACCTATTAGGAACTTCTCCCTGAGTTTTCACATAATAGTCCTTAACCTCTCGACTATACGACGATGGTTTGAGACCACTCAGGCGAGACGTCACAAGAGAAATAGGAGGTGGCTGAAATTTCTAAAAAGGGCGGGTCTCAGTTCTAGTCTCAGTCTAGTTTTCTAAGATAGTCAATAGGAATCCCTAGAGCTAGATCCTAGGATCCTAAGGAAAATAGTAATGACCTCAAAATGAGGTCAACATTGCCATCAATAACTTATTTGAGCTCAGTGACAACAGTTTAAAAAGTGAGAGTGGGATATGTTCAACTAGTTCTAGCTAGTCCATGTTGTCATGCTAGCAAGTTGGCACAAACTTAGAGAGCAATGCTGGCCATGGATATTTCCATGGGAAAGAACAAATCTTGTCTTAAGCTCCCCATGGTAAAATGTTCTGATAGTGTTTCACTTAGAGTTTCTAGGTTTGCACCAATAAGCACAGTGCAAATTTGGTGTATTGGAATATTTGTCAGATGGTTTCTAATGAGCATACGAGGTTCCTGTGAGATTGTCAGTTATCTCGTTAAATCTTGTTTGTATTATATAATAAGTTCTAATTTCTTCCTTCTTGTCAGTGTGTGAGGTTGTTGGCAACTGTGTTGGTCATTTGGTTTGGTAATGAAGGTTGTTATGCCATGATGAAAAAGGGTATATAGTGAATGTTAGGGATGGTTGTCCTTTTCTTTCAAATTCAGGAAAAAAAAAATAATTTTGTCTTTTTCTTTCAAATTTAGGAAAAAAAAAAATAATAATCTGGATTTGTTGAAATACTTGGAAATAAGTTTTTTTTTTTTATGAGGAAAACATTAGTTTTATTTTCAGCAACTTTTGAGAATATCATTAAAAACTTGAGCATCATAATATTAAATTTCTTTTATTAAGCAAGATCCATAAATTTTTAACATTTGCACATTATAGTACTACCTTTTCAATTGAGGGTCCTTGTATGATAACGCACAAACTCTCACATGTACATACGAGAAGGATGTGTTTTAACAATCACAAATACATGCATACATTTGAGAAGGATGGGTTTTAATAGTAATATCTTTCACGTTGAATCCTACTCCATATGGAGTAGAGATACTGTGAGTTATATGATCCTAAAAAGCATTAGAAATCTCACCATAATTTTCTTGATGAAGGTTTTTAGTGATATTAATAATTTTAGTCCAGATATTTTCATATTATAATAATTGAGTGAGAGTTCTAAATTTGACCTCCTTCTTAAAGGGATTCGATTGAATATCCATTTGCTTAACCTTTTTGATCTTTTTAAGGATAATTATTTTTTGGGTTTCTTCTAAATTGGAAAGTAATTTATTTTTCTTATCTTTTTTAATGTGTTCCAATGTTATTAATTTTGATAACGACCATAATTTTATGAAGAAAAGTGCCTAAATCATATGGTTTGTAAGATTGTGCTCTAATAAAAATGTTGTAAACAATCAATTATCAATTTTTGTGTGTCATTGTTCTCTTTGGACAGTACATGTTAACTCTCCCTCTTGATCCCTAATCAATGTTCTCTTCAACCCACTTTGACAGCATGTTATTTAGGTCCTCGATGTTACCTCCCATCCCAATGACTTTTTGCTTCACGGAGGCTCTTCCTGGTTTCTCTTCTTTTGAAAATGTGCCTTCAGTTGCCTTCTTCTCTAGTTCCTTCACCGTTGGTGATTTGAATATTTGAGGTTTAAATTTCCCCCATCCAACTACTGCCCATTATTTTTTCATAAAGATGCAGCGGGACCTCAAAAAAAAGGCCACCCACTTATCAAGATAACTACTCTCATATTTACTGAAGAGAAGAAAGTTTAGCTGGGGACATTACATATTTACTATTTTCAGCTTTATTTATACTTTGGAATCATTGTGATTTTTATGGTTTCCTGTTTCCAACATGTTATTTTAATGTATGTTCATGCAGGTTTTTCACAAGTCACATTTGCTGAAGTTGCGTGTGGCACCATCTGAGACTGCAATGAATGATGTTCTTAGGGAGGTAAGTGCTTTATTTTTGTTTGAGTACTGTGATTTTTAACATCATTTGAAAATCTGGTTGGCTTTTATATTTATCAACTGTATAAAAGAAGTCTGAAAATTATCTAGACTTCATTCATGAACTGGGAATAATCTTAAGTCTGTCTCTCAAGTTTATATCTTACACCATGAATCTTGAAGTCTGTCTCTCAAATTTATTTCTTACTGCTTGACCTGGGGTTGATTGTCATTTGTAAATTTTCTCTACTGTTAGCATCTACATAATTATGAATTGTTTTCGGGCACATGACATTTTTCAAACCTTTTTGAGATTAATGCGGTCTCTGGTTTTGTACTTGGCACAACTTGTGCTTTCGTGTGAGATAGTGTGTACTTCTAGTCTCTGTGAAGATCTATTTTTTCTGACAATTTTACTTACTGCACAGTACTGGATTTTGGAAGTCAGTTGCTTGCATGCATGCATTTTATCATTTTTATCCTTACCACACCAATTATCAAATGTGGTTTGTTCTACTATCCAGAATACAGCATGCAACACTTTTGGCAATGTATCAGTGAAAACCATCAATTTAGCTTTTTTGTACCATAAGGTTTTCTCCATGCCTCTATGGTACCTTTTGGCTTGCAACTTGTCTTTGTTTCTCATGCATGATTTTTGCATGTGGGGCAAAGGGTTGACTAGTTGACATCTAATCATGGAGCATAATCATGGAGCATTGATGTTTTGAGATTTAAAGGCACATGATTCAATCTGCTTCTGTTCAATGCATTTCTTTTCCTTTTTTATATGTTGTGTGAAGGGGGAGGTCACATGAAGCATTGTTAAGTGAGACACATTGTAGATTGATTTTTTTTTGTCCTAGCTTTCGTAGAAATCAAAATTTCATCTAATCATGGAGCAGAGATGTTTTGAGATTTGCAGACACATGATTCAATGTGCTTTTGTTCAATGCATTTCTTTTTATTCTTTTTTTCTTTGTTGTGTTGAGGGGGGGGGGTCATATAAAGCATTTATAGATGGGACACATTGTAGATTGATTTTTGCCTAGCTTTCTTAAGAACCAAATTGAGTGGAAACATGTGGGCATTTTTGAAGATTATATGCTTGCTTTGGGTCTGCTTGGTTTTTAGTTGATAACATAAATCCGAAATTTGAAATTCCGCAATCCTCTAATATGTCAATAATTAAATGTCTTTAAGTTTTCTATTTAAACTCATATCATTCAATGTGTACCATAGGTGTTATTTCTAAAAAAATTACATACACTAATAAAGTTAGGGTCTGTTTGGGGCAGCTGCAGCTTATCCAGCTTATCCAGATAATCAACTTATTCTAATAATCTGCTGATTAGCAGCTAATCCGGATAAGCTGGATGACTGTTTGGTTTGTGCGTTTGAAGAACAGCTGATTCTAGATAAATGACCATTCTGCCCCTATTCTAGATAAGTTGTTTAGCTGTTTGATTTGTACGTTTGAAAAATAACTGATTTGTAGTTTTTTGTAGACAAAAGACCATTGAGACATTATAAATTTTAATTTTAAAATATTTTTTTTAAATTATGTGTAACAAATTCTAATCAATAATTTACATTTTACACTAACTTTAAAATAAATTAATTTAAATTTAATTTATTAGTAAAATTACATGCCGCCACACTTAAAAATATGCAAGAGGAGCTAAAGAAACCGAAATGAAGAACTTTTTATAACCTTTATTTTATTACAAAATTAGCACAAAGTACAGGCACACATATATAGATTTGTTACATGATAAATTTATAATTTCAAAACTATACATAATTTTGACTGCTCACTTCACTTAAAATAGAGTTCAAGATACCAAATTAAAACCAAAATACATATTGAAACTACAATTAATAATAGGATTATAACATTCAATTTAAATTTAGGGTTTTCATTTAAAATTAATTAAAAGAAATATTCATAGCTTATGGAACGAATGAAAATATACCAGGTTTTTCTTATGTGTCACAACGATTTATAAATGAAAGTAATTGTCTTTGTCAATATTGCTTAAAGGGTTTTCATATAATAAGTTTATCATTAAATTTAACATATTGTAAAGAATTTTTAAAATGGAAAGTACAAGATCTACTAGATTATGGATTATTATCTAAAGTTATTATTAGTAAAGATAAAAATTTAGAAAATTAGATATCTTGTTTTAGCCATCCAGAATTAAGAAGAATATTAAGGATTTTATTTGATAATGACATTACTCCATCAATAACTTTATTATTTAGTATTGTTAACCCTTATTTTGAAAACTTAATGGACAGTGCTAAGCACATTATAGAAATATATAAAACCCTCAAAAATTATTTAGCCTGACAGAAAAGTGAAGAGGTCCCTGAAATCATTGATCCATCAACAGCAGAAGACTCTTTATCTCATTTCAGGACTTATCAAGTTGCAAACCTTCATGAAAGATTTTCTAAACCACTACTCTTTAGCCAGATGGCTTACCAGGACGACAACATGATCATCTATCTTAATGAGAAGTCCATTACAGAGAGAATGTTTAAATTCAAGTTCTATCATCACAATTACAATTTGTTGGAACACATCAAGGCCCTCAATCCATATTACATCAGAAAATTGGAGATTATTTCACTGTTTTTTAAAGAGTTATTCAAGAAGAAGAAACAAACCGAAGAAATGAAGTTGAAGGATTTGACATACGGTGGGGTCAAAAAATGGTTAGAAGTCGGAGAAGACATCAATATGCTACCAGAATAATCAATCATCAACTAAGGGAATCTATTTTCACTTATCATGATATTGTTGACATGTGAAGCTTTTTATTTGATGCAGTACGTTTTTACTATTCAAGTTATTGTTCATGAGTCACGTGTAGTACGTTTTTACTGTTTATGTAATTATTAAAGTTACTGTTCATGAGTCACGTGACCACTATTGTTCACGTCACGATTGTATTATAAATAAAGGGGCAAGGCTCATTCTTCTGATCCATCCTCACATCCTCCCATTCTCTCATCCTCCCATCCTCTCATCTTCCTACTCTCTCCACTCCACTCCTCTCCTCACTTCTCTCTACTTTTCTCCACATATCCATCCTCTCCACTTTTCTCCACACATCCATCCTCTCCACTCCACTAGCCTCTCTTTTCTCTTTTGTTCTCGCGAAGGTCAAGAGTCTGTAAGTATATCTACATCATATAGAAAGGGTTTGTAAATATTTTTCGTAAGCAAATAAAGATGTAGCAAGTTTTCTTTTGAAAAGTTTTCTTTTAGAAAAATTTTTCAAGTAATTTTTAGCTGCGTAATTCTTTAGCCACTTAATGCTTTAGCTACTTAATTATTTTGCTACGTAATGATTTAGCTACGTAACTCTTTAGCTATTTAATTTTTAGCTATTTTTCTTTTCTTCTAGCAAAGTCATGAGTAGCTACTTTTCTTTTTTTTAGCTGAGTAATGTTTTTAGCTACTTTTCTTTTCTTTTAAGCAAAGTAATCAGTAACTATTTTATGTTTATTTAACCAAAGTAATTTGTAGTTACTGTTGCAAATTTTTTGACATGGATTTGCGTGAGTAGTCTTTAGTTCTTCCCCACAGGGGAGAAATCTGTAATTTTCTTCATGGATTTTTAATTCTTTCTTTAAATTTAGATCTCTGTTCTCGGAGTATGGATGAAGTTTATATATATGAACAATAAGCTAATAACCTCTATGACCCCAGTTTTCTAGTATGGTTGTAGATGATGGAGGGCTGTAAGTCCCGTTCTATGCCTGTGTGGCGCTTTAGGGCAAGCAATTGTACCATCAAAGAGCTACATTCCGAACGAAGATTTTAGGTGTATGTTATTCTTGTTCGACTTATGCCATAAATGGAGTCAGAGTGGAATGGCTTGGGATGGATGAGAGAATGGGAAGATGGATGAGAAGAATGAGCCTTGTCCCCTTATTTATAATACAATCGTGACGTGAACAGTAGTGGTCACGTGACTCATGAACAGTAACTTTAATATATCTTATTTACCTATTATTTTTATTATGCTCTTTAGCCAGATTAGTAAAAGTAAAAATTTTTTTACTGTTTACTTTTTACCGACGATAAAATTGGATTTACCAGATAAAGCATCAAAATTTTACCAAGCATGAGAATATTCTTCTTCTAGAATAATGGTGACTTAGAACTACTTTTTCAAGCATTGGCCACCATTTTTAAAAGCATAATTTAAGGAGGGACCCCTCTCTTTTATCATGAAAGGAGAAGACATCAATATGCAACTAGAAAAAGTATATAAAAAGAAAAAGGTTCTTAGGCCATCTAATAAAATAAAACCCAAAAAAGATGAAAATGTTAAAAAACCAAATAATAGAAAATGTAAGTGTTATATTTGTGGATCTCCAAAATATTTTGCAAATAATTGTGATAGAAGAAATTATAATAGAGCTTTTGGGACTAAAGATACTTGTTCTATGCTCCTCTCATTCTTAAATCTTTGATTTTCATTTAAAATAAATTTTATATGGTCATTCTGTTTTTAGCTCCTTAATGTTTAGCTACTTTTCTTTTCTTTTAAGCAAAGTAATCAGTAGCTATTTTATGTTTATTTAGCCAAAGTAATTTGTAGTTACTGTAGCAAATTTTTTGACATGGATTTGCGTGAGTAGTCTTTAGTTCCTCAGAAATCTGTAATTTTCTTCATGAGTTTTTAATTCTTGCTTTTGTGTGAGATAGTGTGTACTTCTAGTCTCTGTGAAGATGTATTTTTTCTGACAATTTTACTTACTGCACAGTACTGGATTTTGGAAGTCAGTTGCTTACATGCATGCATTTTATCTTTTTTATCCTTACCACACCAATTATCAAATGTGATTTGTTCCACTATCCAGAATACAACATGCAACACTTTTGGCAATGTATCAGTGAAAACCATCAATTTAGTTTTTTTGTACCATAAGGTTTTCTCCATGCCTCTATGGTACCTTTTGGCTTGCAACTTGTCTTTGTTT